CATCTGATGATGTACACACGCTAAAAGGATGTTGAAAAAGTTATCTGATTTCCCGTTATTTAATCTATATCGTCTCATCGAGGTAAATTGCGTATCAACAATTATTGACAAGACAGGTAAAAAAAATTAAGAAGCTTAATATCTTTCATAACTGAATCAATATTCTTGGGAAGCAAGCTTATCAATAATTTTAAGTCGGAAATTAAGTCCATCCTCTTGGCGACTTATTTTACAAGCAAAGTAAAGCAGATATTCCAGCGATAGCTCGGATTAATTAGACCGAAAAATGGTCGATTAAAAAAGACAGTTACACTTGCTTGCATCGGGTTTTAAATGGTGTTTGTACGAAGTGCAAACAATCTTGAATCGTCTTCGCAGCGAATTATGTACTATTTAGCTGGCCGAATCGGCTCACCGGTTCACGTCCATAAAATATCGCATACATTTTACGACAGAAACACTCGGTGGCCCGCTCGTATATTTGCATTCGAGCGCAGGAACGAAGTTGCTGTTTCGATAAATTTTCTAGATGATGTCGACACGATTCCGTCATACAAACGCACCGTAAATATTTGTCGAACGTTTCATCGAGAGCTTACAGTTCCATTCGTTTTATAATATGTAGATGCAGCCGCGTGTATGCACACACGAGTCACACGCATTTGTTTCTCGTTTAAATGTTAAAATTGGTATTAGTCGTTGAACGCGGATTAGAATTCTTGGGAGGAGTTAACGTCTATTTTGCGCTTCGCCCCGTTGCGCTGGCTGTAGAGAGATTAGAACTTGTAAATCGCGACGAATACATGTGAGGAGAAGTAATTAAAGTATCAAAGTATCCGAACCGTGGCGCGGCCGGAATAAATTTAACGCAGCATTGTCTAAGGAAACTAATAACGCTCCGTAGAAGGCGGCTTTAAAAGAGCTAACACGAGTTGGAGTATCGGTAAACTTTATCGGGAAAATAGAAGGACTGAAATTTTAATAAAGACCCGGGAAGGTTTGTCCTCCCTGCCGCTTGACTTCCCTTAAGGATCAAGATGTATTCCAATCGAAATAATAATACTTCTTTCCTCCAAGACGCCTTACATTAATTTTCGCACTTCCTTCTATGCAATATTTCTACACTTAATGTAGATAATAGTCCGGGTCACGCCTTAATTACTCTTTTAATTAAATCTTGATCCATCTACCGAGCTCCTGTTCGCAAGCTATTACCCTCTAATTAAACTCAGTTATAACAGCTTGGAAAACTCGACTAGCGAAACTTCATACGTCACAAGCAGACGTAAAGGAACAAAGCGTGTATATGCCGGAATAGAAATTTCGTTTCGCAAGCGTTGTCCGTGATGAAGATTCTACTAGTTTGGCATTGTAAAAATTTGATCGTATTAGAGCGCGGTCTATCAAATTTCAACGAAGCGAAATTTCTTTATGGAAACCGAGCAGGGGATTCAACTAGTAGTTGCTGGGTCGGTTCGTGACGGTAGAGGAAGCCTACGGGGCGGTATCCAACTCACCTTTAGGAAGATAGTATTTCCTTTGTTGAGCGTTAGCCGCGTACACGAAGGCGATTCACTCTTTGAAACACTGGATCGCGTACAGGGTGCGGACAATGCCACGAAATCAAGCGTCCCGACTGTAGATGAAACTCATGTAGCTCCGTGGTTGCACTCTGGAATCCTTGACCTCCCTCGGCCACCTTTCCTTACCATCACCATTTGGAATATCGTCGTTCCTTTTATACCGCACGCACTATCACAGGGCCCGAGTTATTCGATTTCTTTATTCACCTAGGAACGTCCGTTCGCGTGACCGGGCCGGACGTGAATGTATTTCGCGATGTGGAACGACGGCGAATAGAAAAACGGTACACGTACGCGAGAATATTCGACCGAGCTCGGAGACAAACACGAACGGTTCGGTAACGGCAATCTTCTATTCTGTACGGACGAGGAGTCGTATTTTTCTCCGCTGCGACACTTGGCGTAATTACGCTCGGGGAAAGCGTGCCGATGCGGGACGCTTTGGGGCAGAAGGGAGAAGAAAGACGGGCCGTTTACAAGCAACCAGGGCGAGAGTTTTCGATTCAGAATCGATTCGTCGGTTGGAGGATCACTCGGTGAAACATTCCTCTAGGCATCTGGCGGAGGTCGCAATTTTCGAAATATCCGACCTACAAATCATTCGCGCTCCAGTAACTAGCTCGCGCACTTTAATTTCGTTCCTGCCTACCTCTTTCGTGATATTTCTTCCTCCCCCACTGTCACTGTCTATTCTCCTTCTCTTTTCTCTGCCGCGGTTCCTACGAACACGCACGAGTTTTTATTTATCGCCGATCAACGGATCGATGCCACCGATTTCGCACTTCCACTAGCATTTTCAAACGGCCGAACGCGACGCACCGTGATGAACGCGAAGCACCGCGCTACGCATTCCTGCGAACGTGATTACACGGCGTCGATGCGTAGTAGAACTTTCCACCCGTGCTGTAAAAGTTGTTCACGTTGATCGTTCAATGGCGACGAATTAATGATTTATTGAACTTCACGATCTAAATCGTATTAACTTTCACCGAGTCGGACTGTTTGTTATAACGCGGCACACACTTAGAATAAAATCACTGGGGACACGTTTGATTATAACCTATTCCTTGCGGTTCCGGACGTGCGTTCGTCGGCGATTGTCTGCGACTTTTAAGCAACAATCTTTCCATCTTCTTCACATGTTCGAGAATTCTATTCGACGACCGTCTGTGTTTACTGGACGCTTTTCGCTCATTACAAATGTACGCGGCGGACTATCTCGTGCTTCGTATTTACTTGAATTTCGTTATTATTTCTGAGTGACACACGTAGTCGATTATTTCATGATCTTCCAAGTGTCGCAAGGAAACGAATTCGAAAGCGTGGCGAAATCGCCAGGACGGAATTTCCTTCTATATCCTCGAAAAGTAGTCGCACCTTGGCGGGATATGCGCGCGCGAAACCACCACGAGTGATGCTGGGCTCGGACTGGAGCCTCCGTTGCGGCGCTAGCGTCGCTACGACTCGGGCCAAAGCGGAATCGACACCCCCGCGCTGCGCCTCGCCGTAACCACCACCTTCAACGTCCACGGGGTGGAAGCAGTGGCGGAGACTCAAGGTTAGTTACCCTTCGCCTTATCTTTCTGTTCCATTATTTTCAAGCCTTTTCCGCCACTAATATGCCCTTAAAAGTTGCTTACAAATATCCCTTTGTTCACTAGACAACTACTGGAATTTAAATGAATTCTGATAGTGAATGGGACAGTTGTTATTAATACTTAAGGGATAAACTCTGATAGCGACGCGATAAGACAGAATGTCCAATGTTTTATCCCACCCACAAAATTAGCTAAGAACATGGATTTACGGGGCTACACTTTTTGTTCACATATAAGAAGGTTTGTGGATCGTCAGGTACTTCTCTGGAAAGACGAATGTTAAATGTAGTGTGCTCTTGCCATGATTTAATCAGATATTTAGTAATACGACGATTGTAAAATAGATGAATAATCATAGTTATAATCCATTCGTTCAAAAACAGTTTTTATATCATATGAACGCGGGCATTAAGACGAGTTCAACTATGTATATAGTAGTCTTCAGGGTCATAGAAGAGCAGAAATAAAAAATAAATAAGTTTAACATTTCGTAATATTATGTTTACTAGTATGCACCGTAATAACACTATATAGATTTCGTGTTTAATGTTACTTACGCTGACTGTGTAAACGTTTATGTTCTCGCAAGACAAGCTTATTTCCTTACTTCAATACATTTGTACGCAACAGCCAAGAACAATAGACTTGGTATAATTCTATTAAGTTCTTATTAAATTTATAATACGATAATAATTATTTTACGCAGGAAACGATGAATATATTAAATATTTCTTACGAATGTAATAAAAATAAGAGGCGAAGATATTCATAAAAAATACTATATAAACCAGGGGAATTCAGTTTCTCTCTATTAAAATAAACGTTTCGATGAAAATCTGTAGAGTCAAAATATAAGGACATCAGTTGAATCACTATTTTAGTATTTTAGGAAACAAACAGTCTTCACTTTCCAAATGATCCGATTATCAAATTTTAACTTGCATTTGTTATTTCTCACAACTACCGAATTCGAAAGGATTTCAAGCATTAATAAAAACATAATTACATCGTTCACATTTGATTTACCCACGAATCAGATAAAATAAGTGATAAAGTTGATTAATAAGAATCGATTCGATTGGTACGATTAATGGGATGTTGAAGGGTTATTAAACGCTCTGTACAAAATCTATATTTATTAATCTCCAACAGGCTAATTAATTGAATTGGAAGTTTCATCCGATAATAAAGTAATCCTCGTTTTCGAACGCCTCTGATCGCGTAATTTACGAGACTTCGTTTGGTTTTAAAAACCGTGGTGGCACGTTTGAACAATTAGGGTACTGATATAAAGGAGATAGGACAGGACATAACTGGACGTTAGGAGAGATGAAATCTGACCCGAAGTGGTGTACATGTGTCCTACTACACTTTTATGTCCCCACCGCCTTAGATATAAACCATTCCAAGTTTATTGTAAAATCTTCGGGGGTTCTTAAGGTTCCAAGACTTGACCGCAAAAGTATAAGTAAGCTGAAACTAAACTAACTTTCCACCAGAGAGTTCAACTTAAAATTAAACTTTAAAGACTTATAACTTCCTAACGCGCCGTTGCTTGATCCCGGTGGGTAAGGATAGTTAACTCAATAGCTTCTATCTCGAAAATATATGAAACTGGCGACGCTTGTCTCGTAACTTAGCGAACATTTTCGCGCAGCATGTAATATTAAATTCGTATGTCCAAATTCGCCCGCACTCCGTAATTAACAGAGCAAACAATAGTTCAGAATATAAACAGCTAGTGCTCATAACAGTTGTCTAGATTTAACCCAGCATAACGTTAAACAATATTATGTTTGCACGCAAACAATAGTTCGTTGCAAACACAACTTACCGGGGGCTATGGAAAACGCGTATTTTTTTGCTAATACACGAAAATATTTACTTGATCTTTTGCTGAATATGTTTCCTATTTTTCATTCTAAAAAACGAAACGAAAGCGTGGAAAGTTTTGTTAGCATCCACCGTACGAGATACTCGATGCAACCGGAATGTGTTGCAGGCCTGGCCTAAACTAGAGAGCGGTACCCTAACTGAAACTAAGTTAATTAACCGACATATCAGATATCGGTTTGCGTCGCGAAATGGTAGCAACTACGGAGCGATGGTGCTATAACGGAAAGGAATAGTTAATACCTCGAGTAAATTGACCGAAATCAATCGAAGTATAACGGCCGGAGTTTCGATGGGCCAGTAATTATTGTTTGATTCCCAACGAGATTAAAAGAAGTGCAAGAAAGAGAAGGAGGAATAAAGAATGACTGGTCGCAGTAACGGGGACGCCGACCTATATCCATTCGTCTCTGTCCGTTCTATTGCTCCGAAAATTACGTTTTATACGACGTTGTACTAAGAGACATCAATTTCCACGCAATGCCACATTCTTCGCTGTAAGACCGCAGTCTCATGGAAACAAAGTAGAAAAGAAGTATGGTTATCAAGCTAATAAAAATTCCCGGTGGGACTGTAAAATTTCGCTCAGGGAATAAATATGTAGGTACGCATCGAGTGACGATCAAAGTTATCGCTAATTCAATGGATTACGACGCGACGCGACGCGACGTGGCGCGCGGCGTCTCACGTACATATTACGAGTACGTTCCTTGAAAGATTTTACGACGGGAGGAACGATCGTCCTGTGGAAACGTACGAAGAAATTATTTGCCAGAATCGTGCGCACAATGGCGATGAACCTTCGGAATGGGGATGGAAGAACTGTCGCGAACGTAGGACGGCGAGACGTCGATTAATTCTTATTGTCAGGGTCAGACGGACTCGGAGGAAAATATAACATCTCCTGGCCGTCTTCTAGACTGTACTCCTCCGAACGGAGACTGGCTATCAGGAGTTCCACTCCAGAGGGACAATTGGCTGACTAGTCGCCCGTTCTAACCGTTCTGGTCCAATCGGATTTGTACAAGGTGGTCGTTTACGAACGTATCTTATTAAGGAGCTCCACCGTCGCTTTCTCTCTGTTTTGTTTTCCCAATTGAAACAGCAATATAAATTTTCGAACATTACCGAGATAGAACTCGCATTTGGAGACTAATAATTGAATTGAACTTTAAAAAAAGTGTGCAAATCAATTTCGTTCGGAACTCTATTGTCATGCAGTTTAAACTCTCAATTTGTGTAAAGCAATGAAGGCCGGGTTTTTCTTAAACTTCCTAACTGAAGGTGCTGTTTAAATAAGTTTCGCATTATTTAGCTCAGCTCTAATTAGAATGCATGCCCCAGAGCGAAGCAATCGATGCAAGTATACAACATGATTGCACAGCGCAGCGTGCGAAGATCCTGCGACGGTGCGAATCTGGATTGAGAGGAAATTAATTAAGATGGCACTGTCCGGGATCAGGCCACCCCTTTTCGCACCCCCAATCTACCGACTTGTGCAGGAACATTCCATGCATAGCTTGCGGCTACATCTCAGGCAGCTACATCACCAAATCCGTCCCTACCACCGCCTTGTACCCTTTATCCAGTCCTCCCCAAGACAACCATCCCGGCTAGTACCGGAAGCGCTACACGATATATTCGAGGCTGTACATACCTTACCTATTACATATTGTATAACTATCAAAACTATTTGTATACTTCGATGACAGTAACTATTTACTGTTGTCACGATGGTTCAAATTCATCAAACTCGCGTAGAACGTACTTTGATAAAACAATTTGCAAAGAAGACTGAATAAAAGTAACCACAGTGTGAAAATGATAAAACGAAATCTTAAACATGAACAATAATTATTTAAATCGCTAATTAGAAATTAATGTACGCGTTGATATACGCAATGGCAATTGTTTTTGACATTTGTTGAATAGTTATAAATGAAGCAAATACATCTAACAGAAATGTTGCCGCAATAGAGTGAAGAAGGAGACTAATAATGCGAGATTCCGTGGGGATGGAGGCTATCCGGCGGAAATTTTAATTGGGATCATTAGGCCGGGGCGAATAATTAGCACTTGAACGATCGAGGGATTAATAGCAGGCCAGCAGAATATGGTCTTTAAGGTCTTTTCACAGCTTCGGCCGTTTCCGTAGGGTACGTTTACTCTAAACGGCGTGACGAACTTTCATCGTTACCTATTAATATCCAGCGTTGAAAAAGTTACGAACGAACACCCTCTTGAACTTCAGTGCTTCCGCTTTGTAAAAGATTTAATTGCGTTAAAAATAGTAAACTCGGAATGTCGCAAGATTACAATTTTTGCGTCGAGATAATATATTTGCCGCAAATAATCCTTCAGATTAAATCCTGGAATGTTGTCGTATGTACGAACTTCGCTCTCGCGCTGGAACAAGTATGCTTCCCGTCTTAAGTACTAAGAAAGCGGCAACGTTATTACGCGTTGAATGCACCCCAAAGACGAGTATAACAGCAGTACGAACGCGTAATAAACCATTGTCCAGGGTACTGAACTTTAATTAACTCTGAGTCTCATTGCTGTTATAAGCGTTTCGTGTCTGGCGAGATCTTTGATGAAACATAAAGTAATCATCATTTACTGGGTATTTATTTAATTACGAGCGGTCCTAATCGGAAGACATACAGATTTCTGAAGTTAAATCGTAACGGTCGTAATCGAGTGGGATCGCGTTTCAAAATCGAAGAGGCACACCGGGTGTACGAAAAGGTCCCCGATCCAATCGACGAGGCTATCAGAAGTAGTGATTAAAATGGAGGGGTGAGTGCTTGGTCGGCAAAAGGGGTTGAAGGTGGCCTGAATGGTGGTCGGCGGGGGGTCTCTCGTTTCGGGCTTGGGGAAACGTAGATAACACTTCTTACCCGAGGGACTTCCCGCGACCCCAA